ATTTTTTAACTTTCCTCTAAAATTTTGAGTCCAAATTGTCATCATTCATTTATTGGAAAAAATGGGAGGAGGAACTCACTTTCGTAGAGTTGGTGTCCAAATTGTAGGCCGGGTGTGGTTGGGGGAGGTTAAATTGCCAACGTTTCGAACTCTTGTTCTTTTTCAAGGCGGCGGAGGGGAAGAATTTTGAGAAGTTGTGACTTCACGTGCCGAATTGTGAGTGAGGAAGGAAGGGTAAAAAAGGGTAAAGGAAGACCGTTACGCACGCGTTAACGGTCTTCCTTTACCCTTTTTTACCCTTCCTTCCTCACTCACAATTCGGCACGTGAAGTCACAACTTCTCAAAATTCTTCCCCTCCGCCGCCTTGAAAAAGAACAAGAGTTCGAAACGTTGGCAATTTAACCTCCCCCAACCACACCCGGCCTACAATTTGGACACCAACTCTACGAAAGTGAGTTCCTCCTCCCATTTTTTCCTATTATTTACTCACTATGCACATTCTACCAATCATTCATTTATTGCTCGATTAATTAAATAATTGCAGATTAAGTACCGGAACGAAAAATACTTACCACCCCGGAAGTTCATGACCTTTGAAATTTCCAATGGGACCCGAAGAATTTCCCCCGCCGGAAGTTAGAGGTTTTCAGGCCTCGTGGGAGGTGCCTCAGCAAGAGGCCGCTATCAACCACCTCAGAAATAGAGCATCTACTCCAGACGATAAAGCTCGTCTCCTTGCCATGGGACAACCGCATGTGGGGGCGTGGCTCAATGCCGTACCTTCGCCACAACTTGGGACGCTACTCCCAAATGAGACGTTTCGCATCGCTTGTGCCCTCCGTCTTGGATGCGACGTCTGCCACTCCCATAAATGTCCATGCGGAGCTATGGTCACATCAAAAGGCTACCATGGCCTGAGCTGCAAAAGTAGTGCGGGGCGTCATTCCCGCCATGCCGCAGCAAATGACGTGATTTGGAGAGCTCTTCGTTCCGCCGGAGCCCCCACCATTAAAGAGCCAGCCGGTTGTTCCCGGCCAGACGGGAAGCGCCCTGACGGACTGACATTGGTTCCATGGGCAAGAGGGCGGCCCCTGGTATGGGACTCTACGTTTGTCGACACTTTTGCACCGTCTTACCTCCCCCAAACCTGTGTTCATCCTGGTGCGGCAGCCGAGAGGGCGGAGGACAGGAAGACAAAAAGGTACGAAGACCTTCTGGACAGATTCCTCTTTGTTCCCGTAGCCGTTGAAACAACTGGAGTATGGGGCAAGGAGGGCCTGTCCCTTATCAAAGAAATAGGGACAAGGATCACAGCCCTCACGGACGAGAAGAGGGCAACGAATTTTCTCATCCAAAGAATTAGTATTGCAGTTCAACGCGGAAATGTGGCCGCGATTTTAGGATCTCTGCCAGCAGGACGAGAGCTGGATGAGGTCTTTTATCTTTAGGACGACAACAATTAGAGGAATTTTTTTAAATATTCAGATAGGGAAATTTATGTACGGCGCTGGTCGTTTAGCTTTTTCGAAATAAATGTATGTAAAATGAACATGGAAAGAACAATAATAAACTTATACAATATTCTAAACTAATTCTAACATATTAATTATAATTTCAAGAAAATTGTCGTTTCCACTCTAAAATAAGAATGAGTTGGATTTATTAATATAAATTTAAAACTAAATTATGGACAATTTTAATTTATGTAATAATTTAATTTAATTTAATTTATGTATGTAATTACTCAACTGATAGCTATAATCTTTTTTGATATAACCATTGATTTATTTTTGCCATTACTGTAATAATGCGGAAGTGCAGATACGTATACCTATCTGCGTCATTAATAAATTATTTATGTAAATGCCAAATTTCGAATTGAATTAATAAACTAAATAACCCTTAATAATCAATTAATCATTGATTTACATATGTATTTTGTCAAGTTTGTAAGGTTTCTGTTTCATGCGAGATGAAACTATATATTACATCAAGAACGTTTGGCATCCTTTTTCATCATTTATTTTACGTAGTGCCTTTGCTGTTATGAAAAACACTTGCATGAAATTAGTGCACAAAGATGTTGAATAACACCCATCTAAAATCCGGAAAAGTGCATGGACAGTCATTTTCGTGCAAAAAATGTTGTAACGTTGCAATTTTTCTAAATATTTGAATAATTTGGAAATCGTTGTGCTGGTATTTTCCTCATTATTTTATTAGTTTAGTGGCAAACTAAATATGTACATGTTTTTTGGTTTCTCAGTATGAAAAATGACACAAAGTTTTGAAAATAAAAATGAACTCGGCGAGTTTAATGAACACTGTTTAATAGCCTACATATATTTTATAAAAATCCTTCATTCGAAATTATCTTGCCAAGACCAAATTTAACGTTAATATTTATATAGAATGAGTTTTAGTAGACAATTATGAACGGTATATGTTAAGTCTTGACAAAGGCTATAAAGTGGTGTGGTTACATATTTTTGAAACACGTATTTTTTAGAGGTTTAGATAACTGAATCTTGCCCCCATTTGATAGGGTTAAAAAATATAAAACTTCTTGAAAATCTTAAATTCCCTGCATAAATAGAATTTTCTTTATTTTATGCATTTTTGTACATGTTTATGCGCTTTGTGCATTTTTATGGACCATGCAAGCATACATTAGATATAGATTTCAAATATTCCACATACATTATTCTCGAAAAAATAAAACATTAAAATGTGTGCTGTGCTCCATTAGAAATAATTAATATACATTTGAAAAACAATGAATCCGAACCAACATTTACATACATGTGAATTTATTTAACACTCAAATGTGTAAAGCAGAAAACTAAAATTCGTAAAAGTTTTTGTATGCCTTAATATATTTACATATGTAACATCTTTTGTAAATTATTGAGTTCATTGGGCTGATTTAAACAGGATGATTCATTTAAGTTAATTTAATTCACGAGTGTTCATGTTACAAAATCAACCCTGCAATATCCCACAATTAGTGTTATTTAATACTAAAATACATAACCCAGTGAAGCAGATCCGCATACTTATTTCCCCATGACGACGGGTTTGGTTTAATGTACGCGAGTGTTTTAACTTTTTGCGGTTATTAATTTGCAGATGCCAATCGAATGATGTAACTACTCCAATCTTAAATACTGTTCTCAGACTACCTCATCGTATGATGGGCACATTACTGTCTGCGTTAATTAATTACGACATGCATACATACATAAATTAATACCTACCCAACCAGAAGTTTAACGATGAAATAACATTAATTCATCTGCGTTGAATCACGGTGATCGTGTCAGTGTTTTCAACGTCCCACGCACCGTGCATTTCATGGTAATCGCACAGTGACTTCACCGTTACTTACACCTTGAATCAACGTTAATGCACGGTAAAATTTATGTGCATGGCACCTTATATTATCTTTCTGTCAACGTTAATCGCACGATGGTATATCGTAGGTTTCTCGGTGATGCACTGTTAATTGAACGTTCATTTTGCAAATATTTATATCCAAATATTTTTATTTCAAAGCTTACTCACAACAAAATAATACATAACAATATAAACTATGTGTAAATATACATGTCAATTATGATTAGTAATCTATTCTTCACATAAAGGAACACAAATGTAACTTGATTTTTTACTACATGCTATGGGAAACAACATTACCTTATATTTTATGTCAAATTCATTAATTAACTTTGAAGTGAATGAAAGATCTGTTACTTTACAGATCATAAATTTTGTCGATTTACATGGATCTGTAAAATAATCAGACTTTCCCTTAAATTTACGTATACGAATCTTTTGTCCCTCAATAGAAATGACTACAACAATATCATTGTTTTGGTTTGTCGGAAATTTTAAATTGTCTGGAGATTGTCTCAATAATTTTTGCATTCTCTTTAACACGTTCTTTTTCTCCTATACGTCTTATCACCTGTGCTAAATGATTGCTATTACCTCGTATCATTCGCTTGATTGTTTGCATATCGTTTTCAAACGCAAACGCATTACTTGTTTCTAACGAACCAAAAATGTCTGCATCATCAGTGATATGAACTAAAGAGTGAACATTATACACAAGAAATTCCTTGCAGTATAGGGTAGACATATCTTTACCAAATTCAAAAAATAAATGTCTTGCAAATGGATACCAAGATCTGTTGTTAGAAAGCAAAATTCTGGTCGCAATGCTAAGCTTTAAAAAATGTTTATATTTTTGGGGGCTCAGAGAATCTTTCAAAACTACTGGACCATAGTACAATAGGAAACTCCTAAATTCTGTGGCTTTCCAGAATTCTAATTCTGAAAGAGATCTCGGTCTCCTATTGAATTCTGAGGCTGCGTATTTGTTTAATCTAACTAACTTTTCAGAAATTATTAAAATTGTTTGTCTCCCTTCTCTATGGGGCAGAGGTCCACTTTTCCAACATTTTAGTAGTTTTTTTACTACACCTAAACAAATAAGGTGCATGTAGTCAAGCACCACACAACTGACTAAACCAAGGTTTAACGGAACTAAAGGGGAAGTTCCGTGGTGGTGGAGTTTATCTAGCTGGTCGTTAAAATCTTTGTCTGTTCTAAGTGGGGAAGAAAATTCATTGAATACAACTCGACCAAACCACGCACCTTTTAATGTACAACGGTCACATCCATGGAAACCATTAAAAGCTGCAGTCTGCTTTACATAATTACGAGCCGGCGCATCAGCAATGATACACCGTAGCCTAACTCCAAGATTAACACCATAAATATTTACACCTTTCGCTCTTAATTCTAAAAATTCATTAACTAATGGCCCCAAAAACTCATTTACATCTATGGGCTTAGATTGTTCGCCGTAATATAATCCAATCAAAAATGGGATATTATTACTTATGTGAGGACATCGACCAAGAATAGGCCAGAACTGTTTCTTACTACTTTTACTAATAGGAACGCCATCAATTCCTGTCGTTATTGAGAAAAATCCCTGCTTTGACAATGTACAAAAACTACTATCAGACACTACTTGCAACTTTTGACGTAACCCAAAATGATAATAATAACCACCTGCTATTGTACAAATATTATAGTTTGTTGGAGTTCCTAGTAAAGTTTTATATGATTTTGGCAATTTGGAACTAGGGAACTCCTCACTCAAAACATTTAATAAACTATCCACAGCAGTGGAGGTAATATTATTTTCTACTGCCCATTTTGCTAATTTATCCTTAATACTCAAATTACTCATATTGTGCTCTAATAACTTATCTGAACCTAAGCATATCCCGTTGGCATAATCAGAATCACAAACTAATTGTAACTCAGATAATGAATCATTAGAAATTACTGGCTGACCTAACTCTACATCTGGTACATCTGGTACATCAGTTTCCATTTCACTTAACATTAACTGTACATTACTTTCTATCCTCCGATATCTTGTCCTGTCAGAAGCCATATTAATTTTTTACACGATCTAGACTTAAGATTAATTAAATTAGCAAATTAACTTATTCTCCAATTATTCATCAGACGATTTCTTCTCCGGTTTCCGGCAAAATCGAAGCTTATCCATTATGATTGATTTAATCTCTAAATCATCCGGCACCGTGACTAGTTTTCTGTTGCGTTTCACAGCAGCTGTTGGAGAACAGTGATGCATTAAATTTATTTATATCTAGTGGAACATTTATTGAAGCGGTTTTAAATATCTTACCGACGATAGCCGTGTTGATATTTGAGAAGGATATGTACGATTTTTTTCCATCGCCCTTGCCCGTGTAAGTCAATCCGATCCGTAGTGTTTTTGCAAATATCCTCTCCAAAATTTCGGTGATTGTAATAGGAAGTGTTGTTCCTCCTATCCCAACAAGGTACTGCTCCTGTTAGTTGTTACCAAAATCAATTAATAAATAGGTCTGTTGCACATATGTATAGATATAGCATGATGATAAATTAAATCATAAAAACGTACAAATACTTTCCTTTCCGTATCAATAGATAATTGAACATCAAATGCTGTTAAGTCGGCCTCACTCTCGATAGGGAATTTTGGTAGCGATGAATAATCCACCTCCACATGCGGTGTTGCCCCTGACCGTTGATTCAAGACTAGTTCGTCCAGGATTTGACGGAAGTCCCTTTGATTGGCTTCAATACGTGCCAACGCTCTAATGATTACCCCTTGGAAGCCTACGAAATATTAAAAAAATGTGTAGGTAATCCACATCGTGCGTAAATGTTTCGAAATACCTTCCGAAAAACCTGAATTTGACGACTTTGACGTTCCCACGTTTTTTGTAGGACCAGATGTGCATAAAACTCCGCTGGAGTCAATGAAGAAAGTTTGAGAATTCGGCAAAATTTCCACCGTTTGAAAATTTAGTTGGTTTCTCTCGTCTTCAGCCAATGATGAAAGACTTTGCGAGGAGCCAGCAGCCCCAGGTTCATTAACCGCTCCTCCTAAAAATAATAATATTACAAATCACCGAACTATATAAGTATGAATGTTACGCTATTATGTTTGTTAAGAGTTAAACATTTACCAATAAAATTATTATGCGGCTCACAGACTGAAACTGGAATTTGTGGAATTGTGGTAGTCAAATTCGCCTGGCTTGGTTTGTCAAGGTCCTCACAATCAGACGACGATGACCGCGCTGGACGTTGCGTTGTCCTCCTTGTGCGTTTTCCCGCAGAGAAGTCCACTTTCGACACCTCTATTTCTGAGGTATCCTCCGCCTTGTGTGCGGCGGCGTTGGCACTAGTATAGTTATCTGCAAAGTAATTTCCTTATAGTAATTTAAATAAAACACAAAATTTAAACTATATGAAACACCTTAAAATTAATATTTACCAAATTCTCCCAGCACTCGACATTTGTAGACAGTCCAACCATCACCAGGGGATGAATTCTTGTCTTTTTTCTTGTTTGTAAAAGAAGGGGTCACTTTATTGGGCCACCGACATCCGGTCTTGTCAGACGTTAGCCAAATTGCTGGAACTGCTTCAACAGTTTGCTCCTCGGGGAATTCTAACACCACAAATGGTTTACTCGTTATAACAGCCAGACTCATTTCCAGTTATTGAGGAAAAAAACTACTAAATATTTAAATTTTATGAGCAGGATAATTAATTCGGAAAGTACAAAGATATTAAATAAGTAAATGTAGAGCTCTGCTGCTGCCGGTGTGGTGGTGGAAAATTTGGAGCGAAATGGAGTGGTGGAATCTAAAATGGGGGAACGTGCAGCGTCATGTCTTTAACACGTTGATTTCACGCTGAGGACACGTTAAATCTTCGTGCATGTTTTACCGTGAACTTATCACGGTATTTCAGCGTTGTGTCAACGATATAGTAAAATTAACGTGAATTTCGACTGTTAGTTTACCGTGCTTCGCACAATTCATTATAACGGTGTGATGATCACACAAATATAACGTTAAAATTACAAGACTTTTGCGAAAATCTGCACCTTATTTCAACAGTGCAAAATCTGCACGTTAAATCCGTTGGGTCAACGTTGTATCATCTTTCATTTCTGGTTGGGTACATCCGTCACGTTTATGAATATAATTAAATACCGTTTTAATCTGACCTTTTAAAATATGTTATTGCTCATTGAACATGATTCATTACTGGTTTCGTGGAAAAATCTCCCAAATATATCCGGTTCTTGGATAATTTGTTTTTACTTTAATTAATAAATGATTAATTATTATGTACATATTTATTTACTAAGATCATTACACGCCCACATTTACGGGCCGTCCATAAATTACATGGCGCAAGAATAGCGATTTTCTATAACCCCACACGTGTTAAATTTCATTCATTTAACTGATTCTGATAATGAATGGAAATGGATTTTCTGTAACTTGCATGAAAATGACTGAATGAGTGCATCATTTCAGATGAATGAATGGATTTCTCACTCCTTTCATTCTTCATTCACCCTATCCTTAATACAAATACATGGGCGACGTAAGAAGAGAAGTTCGATGAAGTGAAATGAAATACGTTTTAACTAAAAGGAATGACGGTGAATGAAAACCTTCAGTCAGAAATCGGGATGACTGACTTTTGAATGCAAATACTTTGTTTGAACAGGTATGCTACACTCCGCGACAAAAGGTTAAAGGCACCCTGAGTCATGATTATATCCCTTGACCCCATAAACCAAGGTCGACGAATTGTATTTTATTTAGTACCTAACTAATGTAGACAATTAAATAATACTGCAAATCTACCAATTTAATTCGTACAAGGGGAATATGAGACAAATTTCAAAAATTGGAAAATTCAAGCGCGTCAAAAGGTTAAAGGCACCTCGTAAAAAGCACACAAATCACTTTTTAAAAAATAATTTAGTAATGCTCCGTTCCACCATGATTGGTGATGACTTCAAACGCCTATTTGGAAAAGATTTAAACCGCTTAGTTATCTCACATTGGGCTATTTTTCGCCATACCTTGACAATAGCTTCCTTTTGGTGATTTACGGTCTTAAACTGCGTACCATTTCTATACTAATGTTCCCCGGAGATTCTCTGTGATAAATAAGTCAGGTGACTTTACAGGGTAATCCAAAATCCTTATCTGTGTCACAGAAAACTCATTTTTCCTTGGCCTCGATGTGTGGATACCAGTATTTTCTTGTCAAAAAATTCACCCAAGACTACCAACGTATTTTTCGCGAGGGAAATTTCGACACTGCAGGAGTCACTAGACACCTACGAACCGCTAAACGTGTTTTAGAAAGTTGCTCGTACCTAGCACACAACAGAATCGGCGAGATGCGTAGTTGTTGCAACCTCGAGAATTTGCTACACCGAAATTCCCTAAGGAACACATGTCCTGGTACAACGATTGGATAAATGTTATTTTTGGGGACACAAACAAGTTCAATTGACATTGTCCATATGCGTTACTCCGCTGCTGGCATGATCTTCGCAAACATGAAATCACTTTTTCAATACGTCAAATGCTGTGAGGCAGCGTGATGGTATAGATGGCTATTGGATCCAAGACATAAATGACACAGTTTTCTAAATCACAACAATGAATCTGTGCACTTATAAGAAATGTTGGAAAACACATATTTCGATGAATGAAAGCAGTTGGGTGGTGCAGTTAGGATTTTTGAACAAGAAAACGCTAGCATCCCATGGCCAACCCAACGAAAAATTTGTTTCCTGCGACACAGATAAGGATTCTGGATTAACCTGTAAACTCACCAGACATATGCATCATAGAGAATCTCCAGGGAACATTGGCATAAAAATGGTAATCAGTTTAAGACCGTAAATCACCAAAAGGAAGCTATTGTCAAGGTATGGCGAAAAATAGCCCAATCTGAGATAACTAAGCGGTTTAAATCTTTTCCAAATAGGCGTTTGAAGTCATCACCAATCATGGTGGAACGGAGCATTACTAAATTATTTTTTAAAAAGTGATTTGTGTGCTTTTTACGAGGTGCCTTTAACCTTTTGACGCGCTTGAATTTTCCAATTTTTGAAATTTGTCTCATATTCTCCTTGTACGAATTAAATTGGTAGATTTGCAGTATTATTTAATTGTCTACATTAGTTAGGTACTAAATAAAATACAATTCGTCGACCGTGGTTTATGGGGTCAAGGGATATAATCATAACTCTGGGTGCCTTTAACCTTTTGTCGCGGAGTGTAGGTACCCTGTGTATGAACAGGATTAAATATTTGATAAAGTTACGTCACTTTAAAATCTAGCTAAACAACATTATTTAAAGATGAGGTACATGTGTATGTACAGGTTCAATTTGACCTTTTATAAAATATGGTATTAGTTAATTACACATTGAAATTGATTGATTAATGCGTTGAGTGAATGTATGTACATATGTATGCTTAAACAGTATCTGGTTCTTGCATAATTTGTTTTTTAGTTTAATCAAGCATCCTATTATTAATTGTCATTTATTAATTGTTATTGATCCACACACCCATTAGAAAAATTAAAATATTAAATACTCTTCAAACAAGTAAGTAATTAAGCCACACGCAGGTCGCTACAAACATATGTATCCCAACCACAAAATAAAAGTGTGTACTAATTGCTTTCTGGATTTTTAAAAATCCGGTTAAACCTTGCATATAAATTGGAGCCGATTCCCTGGAAAAATTCACATTCATCCAGCTACTTCAATTGAAGAGAGATGTTGCGAATTGCGAGCATTCTATTTCTGGTGGCGTCCAGCCATGCCGGAGTCCTTGATAAGGGTCTCCTCTCCGCCTTCACGTCCGGCACGAAGAAGATGAACGTCGTCTTCCAGTTCCCCAACGTTATGGGGGACGTGCTCAGTAGTGGCGTGCTGAACGGGCTGAGTGGAGATGATAAGGCGAGTAAAATGGTGTCCTCACTGAAAGAACAGACTTCTGCGATGCAGGCTCCCATTATTTCGTCCCTTGGACTTTTTGGGATCAATGAAGATCAGGTTACTTCTTTCTGGTAAGGATGGTTGTTTCTAGATTTCTTGAAATTATCAGAGTTTGATTTTATTGCAAATTTTCCAAATTTTTTGCACGCTACTGTAAAAAATGGTAGAAATTGCAAACTGCAAGAAATGGACAGCTCGCCCTCTGTATTTTTATGCAACGTGTCGTGTCAATCTTTGATTGTTTGCACATTTTTTCACATTTTTACACCCTGCTGCAAAAAAGAGATGAATTTCACGGTGCGAGAAATTTGCAAGAAATTTGGAAAAACTGATTCTTTAATAATGCTTTTTTCAAGACCGGCACGCTAGAATAGATACTTGGCTGGTTCAATTTTTTGCAAAATTCCCCCAGAAACGTAGAAATTTTCAAAAATTACAAAAGTATTCCGTTGGTCAGAAATTAAGGAAATTTTTTGAAACGAAATAAAAGTAGAATAACTTCTTTGGGTTCGTACCTGTGCAAAATCAAAATTTGCGAATCCCTCCACTCTTCGAATTTTGCGAGACTAATTCTATAAATTTTTATTGTCAGGGCTAACAACATGTTTGAAGTAAAAGACGCTGAGCTAGGACCCCTCCAAGCGGCCGCCGCTCTTCCTGGCGCATTCACCATTCGCGCCCCGTACAAAGTCAACGCACTCCCGATCGATGAAGCCACCCGGGTTTCGACCCGCGCGGCAAACGTGACCCTTCAATGGGGCGTTGCAAAAATTCACTCCGACATCGTGTGGAAGGCTGGCTTTGCGGGACAAGGCGTCGTCGTTGGGGTTATCGATACTGGTCTTAACGCCCAGCACGTCGCCCTGGTCAATCGGTACAGAGGGGGCCCTTACTCCTGGAAGGATGCCGTCGGTCAAGAGGCCGACCCTTACGATGGTCACGGTCACGGGACCCATTGCGCCGGAACTATTGCGGGAGACGCGAACGGGATCGGGGTTGCGCCACAGGCGCAAATTATGGCCTGCAAGGGATTGGACGATCGAGGTTCTGGGTATGTTAATATACAAATAAGTAGGTCAGATTTTTAAATATTTTTAAATAGAATGTGCTACATAGCACAGATTTTTGGCACTGTATTTCAAAAAAATGCAAAAAAATGCAAGAAATTAACGCCACCTAGCGACTATGTAATCCTTCATGATAGGGATTGTCCGCTGGATGGCGCTTAAGTTACGCATTTTTTGCAATCATTCAAAAAGTTACCCTCTAATTTATTTTGCAGTAGTTTTCGCCTATTTTTTTGTTTTCGCCGAATAGCCTGATCTTGCTTATGGATGAAATACACAATTATTACAGATCTGACATCACTTTGACTGCCTGTGGCCAATTTATGATCTGTCCATCTGGTGAGGAAAACGGTTGCGTGGGCAGACCCCACATCGTCAGCAACAGTTGGGGTGGACAGCCCCCAGGTGATAATGGATGGTACGACCCGGTCATCTCGGCCATGCGGGCGGCTAACATTATCCCTGTTTTTGGTATAATCAATTTACCAAGTTTAAAAATTTGGACCAGCAAAAAAAATCAAGTATTAACCAAATTTGTCACTATTTAGCTATCGGAAATAGCGGTCCCCTCTGCAATACTGCCGGATCTCCGGGAGATCGACCAAAACTTATCAGTGTGGGAGCAACTGGGCCGGTATGATTATTATTTTTGTAAATTTGTCCGCAAATTTTTTACTGGCCTGCAAAAAAATCCTCATAGAAAAATATATAAGCAATTTTTGCGCGCCATCTAGCGTCACTTCTTTATTCGGATTGTTCGCTGGATGGCGCTTAATTGTTATATTGATTTACCTCGTTCAAAGAATCATGCATGCGAAAAACAACTTTTTGCTAGTGAGAATTTGAATTTTTACGAAAAATCTTGCAGATAACGCTAATTTTGATTAAAACTGAATTTTTCATAGGACGATACCATCGCCTACTTCAGCAGCAGAGGAACACCTTACAAGAAGAAACCGGAAACTTCCGCGCCCGGAGTAGACATCGTCTCTGCTGACACCAAGAACACTGGTGGATACGTCAAAATGTCCGGAACGTCGATGGCCTGCCCTCACTTCGCGGGTAAGTTTGACAAGAATATTTTGTACACTAAGAAATAGCTTTACCCTTTTTGAGACGTAAACAGACTCGCAATTTCATACAAAGTAAACTATACAAATCCAGAGTAAACTTTGCTCTTTATCAAGTGAGCGTCACTCTGGATTTTGTATAGTTTGCCTAATACAGAGTGAATTTATTTTTCAAAAATGGGAAGATTATTTTTAAGAGTGGGAAACCGTTGAATACATATGAACTATTTTAATAAAAATATGGAAAACCAGGTGCGGCCGCCCTCGTCCTGTCAGCCCACCCGGACTACTCGTACGACCAAGTAGTCAAAAGTTTGGTGAACTCGGACAATTCCGTGAAACCGGCGGGTAGTTTGTGGGATATTTTCTGTCCTGGATACCCAGCCGGAGGATCGGGACGTATCGATGTCGCAAAGGCGCTGAATCTAACTTCGAAGGCTACATAAATGCAAATTATGAAAGTTAATGGAAAACTGTAGATTAGAAAATGCAATAAAATTTTGATCATACTGGGATTGCTCTTTGTTTAATAAGCATTAGCACCATGCTCTTATGCCACGTAAATTTTTATCTCACAAGTGATTATCTCGAAATGTATTTAATCAGACAAATTCAAAATTTACTAAACATTAAACCCAATTTGAGCTTTACATCTTTCATAGCGAAATGTAATTTACATACGTTTAATTTGCCCAATTTGCTGATTTATAATCAACCTACTGTATTTAATATGTATATACATATATTAAAAGAACACATTTTCTCAGATGCCGTAAACAAATTATTAGTCACACCTTAATTTCTTTTATTGAATTATCCATCGTTCATTTGCATAATCGACAATCTGGCATACCCTAAAATTAAATGAAGTTGACTCCGCTACTTAAACTCCTTTCAAATTTTTCTTCGTTTAATCACGTCTTAAAACGATACTGGTAACCAGGGCCGTAGGAGCACTGGTTTTAAGTGGAGAGCACTCTCCAGGCCGGACGGCCCGAAGGGCCGTACCGGCCGGGTGATGCAGACACTAGATATTATTGACCCTCCGAAGTACATGTTAACTTATACAAAGAACCTAATGTCCCAAACCAACGCTTACATAGTTATAAATTGAATCTTGATTTTGTTCACTTCTGAAAAGTTTCAATGATCTCACAAAATGATTCAATACTCAAACTTAAGCCTTCTGTGACGATTTCTGTAAATCGGTTGAGGTAACATAAGATAAATAATCCTGCAGTTGAAAAATTTTCAAGTTTGTGTTAATAACCTTATCAAACAATTTGTCATGTGTAATTGAAAAGGGCGTGGCACTATCAATCGAGCATTAATAACTTAACCATTCTATCTGTGTCGACCCACTCATGCAAAATGTTGGCGTAAATACATGATCCCTACTTCACCAAATATTTTTTTGTCTAAACGACCTTTAAAGTCTTCATAACAATGGCGAGGAGCATTTCCTCTTTAATTTTCTCAAAATCTATGAATGCGTTCTAGCATTTCCGAGCGAAAAAACTGATTTGCATGCGTTACCTTTTTTCTAGGAGCTTTAATTCACGAAAGTGGGGGGTTACAAATGCTAATACGCATCTGTCAAACAGTGGACAAGTAGAAATTGAATTCTGAAAACGATAACCAAAATTGTCTTAATGTACATAACTTATTCAATAATTTCTGTTTCGTGAAATTTGGCAATCAAGTCTCATCTCTGCGACATCCAAAATCGGGAGATTTTGAAAACCGGTTTGAAATGGAGTTGTTGCAAATTTAAGTAACCCTGTTATCTATTCTATGAAAAACGGTTCCAAACCGTTTTTAAAAGCCTTGTATTAGTTAGAATTAAAAAAACTTTCTCAGTACAGTAATAAGCTATAATTTAATTTAAAATCACATTTAAATATGAACTTGAGATTTTCGGGTATTTAATATTTATGTATATCAGCAATTAGGAATATTTGTGGCTAGATAAAGGTAATGTTTTTACAAAAATATAGACTTAACCAATCATGAAAATTTCGAATCGATTTAGGAATTTTCACGCACGTTGGAACGCTTAAAATAATGACTGGAAGATATACGAAATAAGAAAAGTCCTTGGAAGTTTTTTTATGGGATAAAGGGCGATGCATTTTTACAGTTAAAAACAAGGGCCGTCATATGGAACAAGTTTCGCCTTAGGAAAATACGCTTGTGGGGTAAAAAAATTATTCAACCCTTCTACGAATAAATGGGACACCCTCTGTATTTGTATTTGTAAATGGGACACTCCCATATCATGCCGCATCCTCCGCCATCATTCAAGGTGTCGTTGTGATTTTTTAATTTGTCAGATTCTCCGACTTTTCTCCATACTCGAACCCTTCCATCCGACCCTAAAACATTAAGTTTACCCTTAGCAGCCATTAGAGTGATTCCCAAAATTTTTAATCGTTATTTGTGTGTTGCCTTGCAAAATCTAACATTTTCTTCTAGAGCGTTTTTGATATGTAGGCTTCCTCCTGGCTCCATAATTTTTTTGAGCACTGTTTTTCAATACTCTCCAGCTTGCCCAACCACTAAATACTTTTCCAACATCATTTTCTATTTCACCAGAAATCTTGGGAGACGAAGGTTTTAGATTTATGGTCACTTTTCGAGCAAATATTTTCTACTCGCGCGTGATGAAACTTGGTGGACGTCCTCCTCGTTGTCTGTTTTCGATAGATCCCGTTAATTTGTAACGTGAAATGATGTCACGGACAGTAATAAGCTATAATTTAATTTAAAATCACATTTAAATATGAACTTGAGATTTTCGGGTATTTAATATTTATGTATATCAGCAATTAGGAATATTTGTGGCTAGATAAAGGTAATGTTTTTACAAAAATATAGACTTAACCAATCATGAAAATTTCGAATCGATTTAGGAATTTTCACGCACGTTGGAACGCTTAAAATAATGACTGGAAGATATACGAAATAAGAAAAGTCCTTGGAAGTTTTTTTATGGGATAAAGGGCGATGCATTTTTACAGTTAAAAACAAGGGCCGTCATATGGAACAAGTTTCGCCTTAGGAAAATACGCTTGTGGGGTAAAAAAATTATTCAACCCTTCTACGAATAAATGGGACACCCTCTGTATTTGTGACGATAGCCGTGGATAAGAAATAAGCGACCAAAATCCGCTGAATCAATTTTAATAATTTTGCACATAAAAGGCCGGACCAGAATTTTACTCTCCAGGCCGGACCAAGGACAGATACGGCACTGCTGGTAACACAAATACCAGATTTTGTGTTCAACTTTGTCATACGTGACGAGCTTGACTTCTGCTCCGATGTCCAGGGCTAAACCAGCGTCGCTGCTCCCGACGTCAAGTTCGCTGTTGAGCGGACTATTATCTGCCGCCCAGCGATACGTTGTGGGCATCGATTTTGCCTCGCCGTCCGTCCAATAGGTGGCTATTTATAGATCGTTAAACTCTTAGAAAACTGGTATAGTATTGATTTCTCGATATGATAGTTGTTACCACTTGGTACTAAAATTGTCCCGGTGCATAAAATCTGGTCAAACGTTACTAACGAGCTCTTACTCTTATCAGGGAGTATTCAGGATACTCAATACAAGGATCACATTTTTGTCCGCCAAAATAAAAAAACAGTAAGAAATTTGGTATAGGCAGGAAGGAATTGATTTCCCCGTATTAAAGGAGATCACTACCGACATGGTCAAACTCTAATACCGAGTGATAATTGCTACCGCACGGTGTTACTTTGGTAGAGTCACATACATATGAATAACCTGTGGTGTTATATACTCATTTAACTCTGCGTATGCTAGAGTGTATATAACTTTAAGAAACGCTAGACTTTAATGGGTCATAATTAGGTAGTTGAAAATCAGAATAGAATATTTTAGAAACTCGGGTTTCCATTATTCCCATACTTTTACTAGAAATACGTATACATGAAAATACTTACTAGCCGGGAGCAGCCAGCTCACAAGGGACACTCACGACCTGTCGTTTGAGTCCAGGGTACCCACTATGTTTTTTAGAATCTACTAGGACCCCAGATGAAGGATTCATTCATATTTCCGTGTAAAACTCATATTTGGCCCAATGGCGTGGCGCCAAACTTAAAAATTTGCATTTTCGACCAATTTCAAACCCCCATAACTTTTGCAGTTTATGTCGGATTTTTAAAATTTTATGCTTAAAATGATCAGAAAAGTCGAAATTTTAGAGAAAAAAATAAAAATAAAAAATTTTAATTTTTGAGATATTTTTTAGCATTTTTTTGACGAACCCGAAATTTCGAAATTTTGCGAAAAGTTAAAAGCGATAATTTTGGAAAAAATTTCATAGAATACGAAAGTTGAACTCCTTGTCATGATTTTTGTCAAAAATTTTGAAAATCCGTCCAGGATTTCAAAAGTTACGGCGGTTTTAAAATGAAAATCATGCCAAATCCTTCAAATTTGGCGAATTTGGCGCCACGCCATGGCGCCAAATATAAGTTTTACACGGAAATATGAATGAATCCTTCATCTGTGGTCCTAGTAGATTCTAAAAAACATAGTGGGTACCCTGGACTCAAACGACAGGTCGTGAGTGTCCCTTGTCAGCCACGCCATTTCTTCTTGCGTGTCTATCTTTGCAAGATTCATGCCAGCCTCGACACACTCAAGTCGTCCAAGAGATTGAGTACCCTGCATGTAAATAAAGTTTATAAAATAGTTAAAATAAACATGTTCCAATTCCTCGCGGAAAGATGAATTCTAAATATATTTTGAAAAATTTTATATATTTTTGAAAGGCGAGTATGCCAAAAATTTTGGAAACGATTTCCGTCCTGGGGGCTTTGTATCTAGTAAGTATGTGTACCGCTGGGCAAAATTTTAAGACAGGATTTCTAAGAATGGAACCTTTTTTCAAGCTACACCGGGATTTTCTAGCGAGTTATATCAAAAAATCAAGCCAAAAATTAGGAATCACATGGCGCTTATCATTCCGTTGAATGGCCCCTTGGAAGACAAATACTGGGGGTCAAAGTACCCACCTTGGTTTTCTCGTGGATAAAAAGGGAGAGAAAATTTACTAAAAAATTGAACTTTGCCGCCAATCTTTTTCTTCATAGGGGCCATTCAATGGAATGATAAGCGCCATGTTATTTCTAATTTTTGGCTTGATTTTTTGACAACTCTTTAGACAATCCCGGCGGAGCTTGAAAAAGAGATCTATTAATCTAGGGATAAGTGTTTAAATATTTTGATTGCGAACAAAAACCTTAATTTACCCCTTGGCCCCGGAAACCAGTCCCAAAGTAGAACTCCTTGCCGTGGTAGGTCCCCACATAATTAAGTTCAGCATGCACGCTTTGAACTCCACCCTCCGGAAGAAGGACCTTCTCTTCTTGGAAATTATCCTCCCGGGATAGTTTAGACAACCCAGGTGCATTATTACTTCGTCGATTGATAACCTCTCCACCTATATCCAGATAACAGAGCGTAGCCGCCTGAACATCCCTC